AAGGAACGTGAAATCCAAAATTGGATTTGTAACCTTGGTAACCTTTCGCCAACGCGTGCAATATGCACGACAGCCTCTCAAAAACTGACGTGTTTTCTACTGTCTGACAAATTATGCGATTATACCGTGCAGAATTTAGTGGTCGGCAGTTCGAATAGCGACGATGGAACATACAAAACAGACAAAGAAAGAAGCGCATTAAAATTGAAAATTATCTAAAGAATGTCGGCCAGTTTGATCCAGTTCCATAGCTCGGATTTTTTTTATGTAAGATGATCGAGTGCCTGTCGCGTCTACAAGTGAGTTTGTAGTTAGATAGCAGTTCATTTGTTACTTTTACTTATTTCTGATTTCAAGCAATCTTTAGAGACAAATGGTCAGTATATGGATATTTTAATGTACCAGGAACAATCTTCTAATGTTTTCAGATGTTTTGCGGCAAATGACAGCAACGAGGAAACTCTACGGCCTCTACGGGAATACTTCAACTGGAAATACCGCTGGATCATCTGACTAATTTCGGATCCACTGTGAATGGAACATCGTAGATCACTAATCCGTTAATCTGGATTTGGATTCTTCGGATTTCAAATCCAATGAATCCTTTTTCAAAAAGGATTCAACAGATCAAAAATCCGGATTTGGATTTGCCGAAAGGAACGCGAAATCCGTTCTTAGATCTAAAATCCGTTTTTGGATTCACCGAAAGGAACACACCCTTAGTCTATTAAAACGGTTAATAGTACCGTCATAAGAAAATTGGCGGATTAAAGACTGTACATGTGAAAAAATAGACGTCTTGTTTCTGGCCAACATCTCCAAATAAGGTACCACAATAATGGTTCATTCAGTTGTTCCACTCAAATGTCTGCAAGGTCGTAATTCTTGTATCGCAGTATTATCAGACATCTTTACCTCCTATCTGTGGAATAAGGCTAACATAGTGAAGTTCGTGCAAGCGACCCAGCACCAGCCGGTTGCTACCAGTAACATCATACTCTGGGCAGACCATTACGTCATAGCGATGTGGAAGACTGCTGATCACATGGATGCACGTTCGAAAACAGTTTGCCGCGCCGTGTAGAATCACGTGATCACCCCATGTACCATCTGCCATCATACTTGTGAGGTAGGCATCCCAAGATGGATATCCATCAACAAAATGAAACAGTTCTGTCCCATCCGGCTGTAAGAAAAAAAGAAAATACTGTAGTTAATAGAGAAAAATGTAGAGTGCTTTTGTAGAAGGTATATATTCAGGCAGCTGCGCTGTCAGCTCTTTATAAGACGACACCATTAGTATCGGCACTAGAAATAATATGTCCACCTCAGTAGTATTAAGGACACACCAGTTAGACGTCTGTTTTTGAAGTGGAATAAATTAACGTCGATGACGTCTTTATCTCCTTTGCGCGCCAAGAATCAGTGAACCGGAACCAGAACAATAAAGCTATGATCATACTATACCAGATAAGCTTTCGTGACGATACGAGAAGCCATCCGGTATAGTGTGAACATCTATCCGATATGTGACTCTCCACTTTAGAGATCGGCACGGCCTCATTCCCTTTCGTAATCAGTCTTTTCCATTTTTAACGGTCGATGCCAGCATTAGTAACAAAGCCTTTAGTCATGATAGCGGAGCTCTCGCGCGCGAAGCGCGCAGCGGAGCACCATGGGTAACAAAATGTGGTAAACTACCCATCCGAGAAAATTTGGTAATCACGTGACCGTACACCGACCGCCCGACCGTCCGTCCGCACCACAGGCATACCAACGCAAAATTTCGGGTAGTCTGTGATGAGGGTTTTTTGGCGCGAAAACGAATGGCAACCCGCGTTTTGTGAAGCATAAACAACTTAGAAGTTCAGGAAAGTCAACTCAGAACAAAAAGAAATTTTTCGTGTCGGTTGACATTTTTTATACATCCGTATCTTCTACATTATTTATTTATTATGCCCTCTAGTTTGGAGTGTAGAGATAAAGAGAGGCAGAGAAAACGAGAAAGTAGGCGGCAAGCAAGCCAAGCTCAACGAGAGAGAGAGCGGCAGAGAGCTTGAGAAAGGAGGCGAAACTGCTCTGACGAGCAACGGGAGAGGGAGCAAAAAAGAAGCAGAGAAAGGAGGCGCAATTTTACTGACGAGCAACGGGAGAAAGAGCAGGAAAGGGATAGAGAAAGGAGGCGCAGTTTTACTGATGAGCAACGGGAGAGAGAACATGAAAGGGATAGAGTCGAGAAAGGAGGCGCAATTTTACTTATGAGCAACGGGAGAGAGAACAGGAAAGGGACAGAGAAAGGAGGAAACATTTTACTGAGGAGCAACGCGAGAGAGAGCAAGAGAGAAACAGAGAAAGGAGGCAAAATTTTACTGACGAACAACGGGGAAAAGCGCAAGAAAGAGAAAGGGAAAGGCGACAAAATTTCACTGAAGAGCAACTGGAGAATGAACGAGAGAGAGCAAGAGAAAATAGACGCCTAATAAGCGACGAGCAGCGAAGAAGGGAGCGAGAGACAGCAAGGGAAAACAGGCGTCGTATAAACGAAAAACGAACGAGAAGGAGGAGAAGGTGAGCGAATTTTTGCCGAGGTTAGCTTTCTGTTATAAGAATCGGGGATTTTACGAAAACAGAGGTAGCTTTTGTTTTGTTTGTTAATCAATAACCTCTTTGTAATTGCATCAGTTGTTTTGGACCAATCACCACACGTCATTTGTTGTCACGCAGTCTAGAGTTGATACTTTTATCATCCATTGAAGTTGACCTGTGTCCTCCAAGTTCGTTGAAGAGAAACGATAATATATAGAGTTAGCCAGGGCTAAAAGCGAAGCTCTCGATAATATTTATAGTTTGTTCAAACAAAATATAAAATCATGTAATGCTAAGCGGCGAAGGCAACGCCAGAGAACGGTGAAAAACAACAATAGGTCTCATTAGCAAAAAAGCAACTTTGCACGTGCAGCTCACTTTTTTTGTTCATTTCTTTGCCGTTGTTTTGGACGACTACAACGTGAAACTTCCAAAAATGTTTTTATGGAGGAAATGTCGTACGTGTTCTCGTTCACTTTTTTTTCACTGCCGCTCATTTTCTTCTTGCATTGGTGGCCGCTAGCATTTCTCATTTTGTCAGCGCTGCTACAAAATTTTCATGTTGCTCTTCCAACAAAAAAATTTCTCCTTTGTTTTTTATCTCTCGCTCTAGAGCTCTGTCGCCCTTTTTCTCCTTGAGTTTCGCTGGCCTGCCGCTTTTTCTCTCTTTTTTTTGTTTTTCTCTGGCTCTATATTCCAAATTTGTGGACATGACAATTAATCTAAGCTTAATACTTTAGAAAACACGGATACAGAAACAATTTCCGCTTTCGTCTTTATTGAATTTTTAGCTGCCTCTGCTTTACAAGACGCAGGTGGCTATGCGATTTCCCGCCAAAATAACCTCGATTTGCCTTTGGGTCGCCATACCTGTTGATTGAGTTATTTTACATTGGTAGCTCTGTGGTGCGGACGGACGGTCGGGCGTACGGTCACGTGATTACCAAATTTTCTCAGATTGGTAGATTACCACATTTTCTTACCCATGGTGCTCCGCTGCGCGCGCTTCGCGCACGAGAGCTCCGCTATGATTGAAATTTCACTTTAACAAGACAGTCGCGTCCAAGATAAAATTATAGAGTAACCTTATAATTCGTGCTCCTCGGTGTATTTTCGTTGTTTCTGGCGCGGAAAATAAGGTAATCTTAAATTGTATTAATGAAATTTTATCGAAAATCATAACCATTGCCATGTGTCCGATGCATCGCTGAATGAATGATAACTCCTTATGTAAATTTTAGGCGACTCTGGCCTCTGTGACAAGTTAAAATGATTGAGTGTTAGAGGATTGTAAATTATACGGTCTGTGAAAGAGTTGTTATGTTTTCTGAAAAGAGAGCAGAGAGCACCTTGAATTTGAAGATTTTCAATGTCTGTTGAAAGAGCGTTTTGGTGCAGATTGTTCGAGCTTACCTCTATTTGTTTTATTCAGGGTAAACAGAATTTGAAGGATCTATTCTCCCTCTTGTAATTGAAATAACTTTTATTATTTTACTATAAATCTAGGCTTTTCCATTTTGTAGATACCTATCTTCGAGTGTTTAAGAATATATATGGAGATCTATGTAAGTAAGGAGGGCAGCCAGGGTTAGAAATTATTTTTGAATGTTGACAGGCCAAACAAATTTAAGCTCGGTCATGTCTAGTTACTAACCGGTCAAAATAAATTATTACCTGCCAAACAAATTTTAGCTCGGACCGGTCAAAAGACAGTAAAAACTCGTAGGTAAGAACCTGGATTTTCCCATTGCATTAACAGGTACGTTCTTACAAAAATAGTTATTGGCAAAAAATTTGTCTATTTTTCTAAAATGAAAAGGTTCTTATTTTCTGCAGGAAAAAAAACATTGCAGCTTATGTCTCCCAAAGAGGTTCACCTGAATATTTTCCAGGTGTATAGAATTTTTTTTATAGATTTGAGAAAATAAAGATGTGTGTCAACTATTGGGCTAAACAGGTTCTTGTATAGAGCCTGGGGCCTAATTATAACTGGCAAGTTTAGCCAAACAGGCTCCTAAAAACCAGGTTCTTAGTCACAGCTAGGTTTTTACTGTATTGAAGACATTGTACTTTGCAGTAATAGCCAAATTAAGACAAAAATTATGTGATCATAAATGCTCAAAAACTCCTTGTGTTGAGAGATGGGGAAATATTATAAACCAGTTTTGAGTGTGGTTATCAAGTTGTTCATTCATTGGAGGGTACAGTGTAGTAAATAATATTTCCAGGAATATTGTCAAGCTCAGCTCGTTTATTCTTAGAAACAATTCCCCATAAGAGTTAAACCAGAAATCACAATTTTTGGCTCAGTATTGTTCTGACATGTTTTCTTTGAACAATAGGTGTATGTAGGGGTGAGGGAAAATTCTTGCCCAACTAAAGATTTTATCTTATCCTCTTAGCCATGGAAGAACATGAAAGTCTGGTCCTCCAGGTTGAATGTAGCATGGAATGCTCTCTGCACTGGTGAACAAGAGCAAAGTCACTCAGCAGGTGCTGATATAGTTCATGGTAGATGGTATTTATTATAGAATTGCATAATTGAGTAAAATCACGCATTCTGATTGGTTAACGAAGAGAGGTATTCAGTGTGGAATTGCGAGTTGAAAACGAGGCTAAGGGATGTTTTTTCGCATCTACGTAACAACTATCGTCAAATTGTAACACAACAACTGCAAAAAAGGTTTTCTACAATGTCATTTTAAAATGTTTTCAAAATCATTGTCACCTTTTGTACATCCTTTCTTAACATACTGTAATGTCGCCTGGTCCTCCACCTACTGTTCCAGCCTAAACTGTATTTACCTTTTGCAAAAGCGTCTAGTGCGGCTCATAACAGAAGCTCACTATCTAGCAAATACCGCCCCTTTGTTTAGCCGGCTTAAAGTCCTTGACATATTTAGTATTAATTTATTTTCTGTCACTACTTTTATGTATTGTTATCACCATAATCTTTTGCCTAGTAGCTTTCGTGACTTGTTCTTAAGTAGTAATCTGAAGTCCATCAATACCAAAATTCGACTGGCCTCTCAGTATAGACCTCATTTTTGTAGATCAAATATAAAGCAATTCAGCATCCTTTACCGAGGACCTAAAATCTGGAATTCGTTGCCTGTTTCACTAATTAGCTCTCCTTCTATATTTGTTGTTACAAAAAATTTAAAGAATTATCTCACTGATAGCCGATCTGTCGCTTAATTTTCTGATCTTGCTCACTCTGCACTCAGCCATGAATTTAGTTCTCTAGGTAGTTGAAGGAAGCCTATTAATATAAGCTTCAAGCTTCGTTAGACTTCCTCGTCACATTAATTTTATAATTTAATTAACACCTTTTGTTTATGTTGTATAAGGTTTTGTGAGTGACTAAATAAATAAATAGTTAAAAACAGACAAAAGCATTTTTTAAAGTGATCCGGAGGTTCTTCCTTGTTTTGAACTAAACTACAAATTCTTGGAGAGGTATAAAAAACCTCTTTCGCTAGCGACAATGAGAAAACAAGAAAATCCTGTGAACACAGCCCAGAAAATAACAAGCCAAATTCAAACAAACAAAACGGAGAAGCGACAATGGAGGAAGTGCCAGGGTCAATTGTCACATATACAGAAGAAGAAATAAATACCTTCAAAAGATCACATTGTCCCTGAAAACACGAAAAAGATTACGCCACTTGCATTCATCCTGAGTCGTGGTACTTAGAAAAGTACAAAACAGAGCTGAACTTGAACAGCATTTTTAAAACATTTCAAGGTACTTACCTTATATCAATCGCAACGTTAAACTTTCAGTGCTTTGCCTTGGACACTTCATTTCTTTCAGTTTTGCTACCGCAGAGGTAAAAGGTGTAAATTATTTTCCTTCGCGAGCAAATGACCAATTTGAAAAAGGATTATAGATAACCGGCTTGTAAATTCAGTGAAATACCTCTATTTATCCTTACAATTAGTGTGAAGCTTGTTCATGTGTAAAAAAGTTTGAAAACAAATGTAAAAACAAGCACAAGGTACAAAAAAAGTGGTCAAAGCAGGTTCAAACGTGTATGACTGACCTTGCTTCCTATTCGCTAATGCAATGATAGGTTTGACATTTGACTTTGAAATGGCTTTCTGGGGCGCGTGCTCAGGATAAAAACAAACAATATTATTGGTGTTTTCTTTTTTTTTCTGAGTTTTATTTGATTATGCGATTCAAGGAAAATCCATTACCTGACTCATGAATTCCACGTTAAATTGAACTTGAAAACCGATATCGGTTTTCGTGTGCAATTAATAATGTGGAATTCCCTCCCTTGATTTTTCATTCATCCAGTCCAGGAGAGTCGGTTCATGCGTTGACAGTTCTGATAGACATGTGACATGTGAATAGCGGAACTCCCTTGTCTTTTCTGGTTTGTTCTAACTAGATTCAAAGGGATTTTGTGGGCGTTTTTAATAAAATAATTATTCCACTTGCGCTTGTTGGATGAGATGATTATAATTGCCAACTCGGCGCTATGCGTCTCGTTGGCTATTTTCCATCTCATATCCAATGTGCCCTCGTGGAATAATTGTTAATTATAAAATAACTAAGATAGTACGTGCATTCTGATTGGTTAAAAACCAATAGTTTATTGTGCCGGTAAAATCATAGAAAACTGAAACATGCTTTAAAGTTATTTTATAAAAGTAAAAGACCACATTTTCTAAAGGTTTGCTGGTGTGATAACCCACTTGGGATGTTGGGAGAAGACTGGAAAAGCTTGTAAACCACCAGCTTAACTTCTCAGATCTCTGGGCCTCATGCCCCCAAACCCCCCCTTAGATACGGTACTCTCGCTTTACCAGCACTTGGTGTCAGGCACCAGTTACTTTACATTGGGAGCTGGCTACTCTAAAACTTCTGGAGAACACTGAACAATAGAAATATATAAGAACCAATGAGCCTCAGGTGTCACAATCTGCTTGCTTATCTTCTTAGCCATGGAAGAACATGAAAGTCAGGTCCTCCAGGTTGAATGTAGCAGAAAATGCTCTCTGCTTGGTGAACAAGAGCAAAGTCAATCAGCAGGTACTGATATAGTTCATGGTAGATGGTATTTATTATAAAACTTAATAATATACATGGAAAAATTTCTTGAATGAGATTGGCTTAGAGCAGTGCAGTTTTTAGTAAACACAGTAAAAAAAACAAGGAAACATAATGCAAAAATAAGGAAATAAAGTGCAAATTTCTCAGAGAATGAAAACCTGTGAACAATCAGTGTTCTCCAGAAGCGCAGGCGACTGGTGGTTTCACTGGCTACTCTTATGACTCAAAACAGTAAAAAAAACTGTCTGTACCTTTTATCTTGAATTTTTCAGAAGGTCCTAAAAGAAACAAAAACAATAGCTTGTCGTACAAAAAGCTCTTTGGTGTATGACAATTTGCCTTTTGCTAATGGTATTATCGATATATTTACTGAATGATGTTTGATGAGACATTGCCAGATAATATTTTTTAATTATAAAATAACTAAGATAGTACATGCATTCTGATTGGTTAAAAACCAATAGTTTATTGTGCTGGTAATCTCATAGTAAACTGAAACATGCTTTAAAGTTATTTTATAAAAGTAAAAGACCACATTTTCTATGGATTTACCAGCATGATAACTCACTTGGTTCTTGGGAGAACTCTGGAAAAGCTTGTAAATAACGAGCAAAACTTCTCAGATCTGTGGGCTTAATGCCCCCAAACCCCTCCCTTAGATACAGTACTCTCGCTTTATCAGTGCTTGGTGTCAGGCACCAGTTTCTTTGCTTTGGGAGCTGGCTACTCTAAAACTTCTGGATAATGTATCGGTCAAATTGAAGCTTCAACATGCCCTCCCTGGGCAACCCCCCGGGCATTTGACTTTTTTGAAAATTATTGTTCAAATTCCCCCCTACCCGGGCCCAAAATGCCGTTCAAATGCCCCACACTAGGGTCCATTCAGGTGATCAAATGCCCCCATCCTGGGGACATTTCACAGGCACAAAAATGACAGAAGGACGGCGGAAACGCCTTCAGTTGTCGAACAAAATCTTTATAAATATAACAAAAACACTGTTAGCGTATTTACTACGAACAAAAAACTCGTGCAAAGCGGCAGAAATCGCTGCTACAAGGTCACTGAATGCTCAGCTTTTCTTCATCATGCAACATCCAAAGGGTTCTATAAAAAAAGATCCCACCTATTGAGATTACTACATCATGACCATTTCACTGACATGCATCATCGCTCACCGTATAAATTAACAAACTTGCAGTAGGTCAAAGTAGTTGACCTGAGCTTTTTATTTTATTTTATTCTATTTTATGTTGTAGTATTGAATCGCTGGCATAGGTATTGTATTTCATTGTAAACACAACAATAACATACATTCATACATTCAAAGCCTGAATCCAGTATTAAAAATTTTAAAATTTAAATACTTCAAAAACGGCACAAAGCTTGTTTAAGCCCTTTCCTTGTAACCAATTGGCCACAAAGGCACAATCTTTTCCTCGAAAATCCTCTAACACCGCGTCCCCCATGATAGCTCGTGACGCCAAAGATTTTACATGAAATCGAGGGTGCAGTTCAAATTCCCCACCCCTAAAGCCTGGGGATCAAATTCCCCACCCCCTGGAAGACTCTGATAATCAAATTCCCTCCTCCCCAGGACGGCAAAGGTGTCAAATGCCCGGGGCATGTTGAAGCTTCGATTTGACCGATACATAACACTGAAAAATAGAAATATATAAGAACCAATTAGCCTCAGGTATCACAATCTGCTTGCCCAACTTATTAAGATTATATCTTTAATCTTCTTAGCCATAGAAGAACATGAAAGTGAAAAAGTCCTCCAACTTGAATGTAGCATGGAAAGCTCTCTGCCAGGTGAACAAGAGCAAAGTCATTCAGCAGGTACTGATATACCGGTAGTTGTTTATGGTAGATGGTATTTTATTATGAAAGTTAATAATATACATGAAAAAATTTCTCTGTGAATTTGATTGGCGTAGAGCAGTGTACTTTTTAGTAAACACAATGCAAAAACAAGGAAACATAATGCAAAAAGAAAGAAATATAATGCAAATTTATCAGAGAATGAAAAACTGTGATTGGGCCAATAAACAATAGAAATTTATCAGAACTAATTAAGTGCCACAATTTGCTGGTGGGAAGCATGTATACTTTTAAAACTTCCCCCTTTTTGGTGTAATTAATTATGCTCTGTTGTCTTACCTAAGTAATCTTTCCTTTTTCTTGTAACACTTTTTTTCTCAATATTTTATTTTATGAATTTACCTGATTATTTTTATTTATTTATTCATTGTGGGTTGTTTTTGTTTTCATTTTTGTAACCAAGATTTTCAAATTAATAAAGGTGTGGGTGGGCGTGTGTGTGTAACAAATAAGAATGTTAAAACTTTCATATATATATTTTTTACATGGACTCAAAAGAGCAGCTATATAATCAGTGATTTTGTTACCTCTGCATTCTATCTATGTTCCTGAAACATAAAAATCGCCAAAGACATAAAATAATTCATGGATATATCGATCTGAACGTGTGTATTTGTAGAAATATCCTGTACGTGTAATTTCTGTGGCAGTTATGGTTGTTGTTTAGTGATGCATATTTGTTTTAGCCTTTTTTGACTTCTGCTTTAAAATAGAAGAACTATATTTTAATTTCAGTATACTATAATACAGAGTTTTGGAGTGTGTCTTCAGATTAAGTGTCTGTGGCTGGTACATAAAGGCCCAAACATTTTCCATTTTGGACTCATTTTTTTTAACTGGGACTCATTGGTTCTGGACTGGGACTCATGATTTCTCACAAGATGAGTCCCAGAATTCATCATATTTATTTGTAACAAAAACACTGTATAATTCATTGATTAGACCTTTTGTCATGTAATTCAAGTGTTGTTGTTGTGGTAAACATGACAAGTCATCATGTCTGTACTTAATTCTCCATGACTGGATTGTAGGATTTTTGTTCTGTTTGTATTTGATCGTGCATTATTATTATGGGAAAACTTACCTTAGGGTTGCATTACTTTGACTAGGACAAAGTTAAAATACATTGAATTCTCATAGAGATAATTATTTTTTGGATTATAATAATGAGTTCATTGGTTGGGTCACTCCCATTATATTTGATGACTGGTTTATGAAATATCAGCACTTAGAAAATGATTGTCAAGGTTGTTGTATTATCCGAAGTTTCAAAAGTAGAAATATTGTGTATTTTCTATTTGAAATCAGGTTTTGAGAACACTTCCACAGATACAGCTTTATAATAGTAATTCTTGTACAGTTATACAAGCATGCAGTACTAGGGTGCGAAGAAAAGGAGGTCAGTTTTGTGTTTGTCCTTCGGGAAGGCTGTAGCTTGCATCTGTTAGCCCAAGAATCACAACTCTATTATCCCTCAGGCAAGATAAAAAATAGAATCCACTAGCCCCATAGCTTATATGAATTGTGTAGTTGGTTAATACAAATAATTCATTTACAAGGAGAAGAGTTGGAACAACACACTCCTGCAGTAGAAAATGGCCCAATTGAGGGAGCAAGCAATGTGCAGGAAACACAGCAACCTCTTCCAGAAGTAAATAATAGTAGCCACTTAGAAGATGACCGCCTAATTGCTAGAGTAAGGGCAGTTGGTGTGGACTATGAGTTTCCAAAGCCTGGAGAAGTGGAAACGGAGGATGACAGAACAAAAGATTTTATTTACTTGAATCCAGTCCATTCCTTTTTCTCTTCAACAACAATGATATATTAAGAAACATTGTTATTATAGCTGGAAATTTCTTTCCAACCATGTGCACACTCATTGGTTATTTCAATGTCACCTGACATCTAACAATGAAACTTTTTGGTGCCAATATTCTCTAAGCAGGCAACATCGCAAAAATCATTCACATCAGAGGGTAACAGTGCACTATTACCCGTGAATGACCAACAACTGACCTTCCAGGGAGGTTTAATGAATTTCCATGCAGCTATAAATTTTTTAAAATATTAGCATCACAAATCACTTAAAGACTTGGCCCATGGGAAACAGTTAATTTTGTTTTCCAAGAATCTAAATATTTCCCAGCACCATTCTCATTAGTTACTTCGAGGTCACATGACATCTAACTGTTTCCCACCAAAATCTCTGAGGGATTGCCAGGCTAATTGACCAGCTGCTGTGGAAATTGGAGAATGACTATATGAATGGTTAGGTACGTTAGGTACAGTGCCAAAGTTGCATTAATAACTGTGGTGATCTTCCCTGAATTTATTTCTTCATTCTGCATTGCCAGTATATGAAATTAATGTATTTATTATACCATATATAACTTTGTTGTGTGAATTCACCTTGGATAAGTTAATCTTTTCATGTGCTGTTTTAAAGTTATAGAGTTTTAGTTTTAGTTTCAACTTTTAAGACCTTTTTCTTTCCTGCTCTTTAAACCTTATCTCACTACGTGTTACTTTTTTCGTAGTTTTCTTTGACTCCTCTTCTTCCTTTGTCGGGAGTGGGTTGCGGCTACACGTAGGCTAGATTACATCGCGATACCGACTGGGGGGTATCAGTATTTGCAACGAGGTTATATCGTATTGTGTACAAGTGTGAATAAAACGATCTTCATCATCATCATTATTATCGTTATTATTATTGTAATGAAATCGGGAGCTCCGCTTTTAGGCTTGGCTAAATCTATATATTAGATGTAATATATTCCCTGCATTTAGTTACAAAAAGGCAAATAATACGTTTTTGAATAGTGTTAGAAAACGGCGTTGCAGCCAAGTTGAATTTTCGTTAAAATTTATGGAAAGGGCTAGGGTCACCTGTTATTGATGTAACAGTTAAGAAAGACAGTTTGTCAGTGTATGTACTTAAATTTTTTCAGCATTTTGGTCGGTGGGGTAGTCTAGTGGTAAGGGAGAGAGATTAGGATGCGACAGGTCCGGGTTCGAGGTCCCGGTTTGACCCTGGGTTACGATTTTCTTTCTTGTTTATAGAAACACTCTAAATAACAGATAAAAAATTTTCTTAGTGTGTAAAAAATTGCAGCGACCGTTAACGAAAGAGACAGCTGCATCGGCGCGTTAAAGAAATCGCGCCGAAATCACCGTTCTTGTGTGTGAACTGAAACCCCATCTGGTATGATTCTCGTGCCCACGAAAAAGCTACACCGCATAGTGTGAAGACAACCTAAGATGTCTGCAGTGGACAATGAGGGCATCGTGATTCAGTGATTTTAAGTCCAGGTGTCTTCATGACCAAATAAAGACATGACACACACAATTTAGACTAATCTATGTCAATATAAGGGCATGATCCCAACAACTTATATAAATGGATGTACTAAATACTGCGTAAAAATAGCTCGTGGCGTTATCTCAATGAGATTCAACCGCATTTTATTGACGAGACAGAGAGAACATTATTTATTCCACTTTATTTTAATGAGATTACACTACAAAAAAGCGGTCTAATCTGTTCACCCTATGCAATTCTCTATGCCCATTCCTTAGGGTCATCAGAGTCAATCACAAATGACTCACCCATTGGAAAACCGCGCAGTGCTTTTCCAAATCCGGAGTTTCCACTAACCAGAATGGGAAGACCAGCTGACATGGCCTCCAATCCTGTCAAACCAAACCCCTCAGTTCTTGATGGCATGATGGCCAGATCGACTTCACAAAACAACTCTCTCAATCTTTGTTTGTCTTTCACAAATGATCTCACAATCAGCTGGTTCTTTGAAATGCCAGTCTGGAGTAAGGTTTCTGCGACTAAGAGAATGGACATTCGAGAAATTTTAGAAAAGGCAGATAAGCTTTTCAAGGTACGTTCAGTGGATCCCGATTTCCAGCTTAATAACATCATTCCGAAGAAGAAAGAAACAAAGTAACAACTCAGAAACAAAAGTGCTCATCGCCCGGATATAAAGACTAATACATTTAAGAATGTTTTGTAAATAGGCTTATTTTTAGATATAATCTTTGATCTTTCTATTATTTGCATACAGTATGTCTTATGTATTTTTATCTCTCTATTGTTTGTATACAGTATGTCTTATGTATTTTCAGACTCCTAACTGCTGATGTAACTTAAGATATGTCTTTTTATCTTAGGAGGAATAAAGATTGATTGATTGATTGATTGATTGATTGATTTGATTGATTGAATGATCACAAAACTATTCAAAATAGCTTTCTTCCAGGATCATTTTACATTTCTAAATGTCATACTAATAAAGTTTAGCAAGTTCCCTAAAAGAAATAAACTACTTAACATTTTAAGTAAAGATTCAAGGAAAACTTTCCTCCTTGTAATTTGCGGATTTGTGTGAGGACACATAAAATGGAAGTTACGAAAGACTGACTAGAAAGTATAACCGTGAATAAATCTCTCTGGGGGCGAAAAAAGATCATAGCCTTTTAAACAGACCTCAGATTTCAAATCTATAGAATGCTCTTTAAAGCGTCACGTAAATGCCAGAATCCTCTATTTGGTTTACTCTCTGGAAAATTCTTAAGGTCCAAATTTCACTTCCAGAAACTATAAAAGTGCGTTCTGATTGGTCGACATAAAGAGTCGCTGGTTTCAGCACACGTAATATGTATCTTTCCACTCTTTTTTGTTGTGAGACGTTCCTTTAAGACTACATTTGAGGATAATTCTACAAGTCATGCAATGTACTTCCACTGCACCCCTTTAAAGGTAGATTGTGCTGATGACACACTTGAAAGATAGCGTGCAATGCACCTGACATAATTATTTTTGTTTGTTACGCCACGGTTTGACACCCGTGATGTCATCCAAAATGAGTGTGTATAATATGAGAGCCAGCGAGTCATGCGAGTCAACATGCGAGACATGCGAGCCATGCGAGTCAACAAGCGAGCCATGCGAGCCATGCGAGTCAACAAGGGAGTCATGCGAGTCAGCATAAAATAACTTTTTTTAACGTAAACTACAAAAAAAATAGCCTCTGTAACTAAGTAACGTATTTATTCCAAAGGCACGTCCTTTAAAATTCAGCTTCAGAAAAATTCGCCAGCATACAAATTAAACGAGGTGAAACAATAACAAAGGTTTGATGGTTCTTCTTCGGTCACGTTTAATAAGTCACACCATATGTGGTAAGTCACGTGACCAGAACATTTTAAAACACTCTTTAAAACCCAAACGTCTTGCATCTTTCACAATAAAACCAATGCCAGTGGCTTAAGAATATCGTAATAAATAATCTGACTTACTAACAAGTTTAACGTTCGTTCTCAAAATTCACATTTATCGAAAAAGCTATGACGTCATTGAGGGGTATTTTCATACATTTTCTTTAACAGACTTTCTTGCTTTCGTCTGAACGCTAATTTCATGTTACAGATGTTAAAAACGAGTCAAATTGCTTATGATTCGCCAAAAAATGGGATCTCTTTCCTTTGAACTTTTGCCCTTTTTCATTTCTAAAGCGGGATTGGGGACTGGCACTAGCTGCGCATGTGTAATATCCATTTAGTGTTGTCTTATCTTCAGTTTCACGGTTCCCACCATGTTAGCGGTTTAAGACACGTGAGAAATAGTAACAAATAACATAACTTACCATAACAAAAGATGAAAAAGATGAAGGCAGATAACAAAACGATATTGAAAGGAGAGCGAGGATAGCGACGTGCCAAATAGCCAAAAGCCGCCAAAAGCCGAAGAAAGGGAAATGGACTGGGAACTAACATCTGTCTCGCATGGCTCACAATGGCTCACATGATGACTCGCATCGACTCGCATGACTCGCTGGCTCGACTCGCATGACTTGCTGGCTCGCTGGCTCGCAGTTTGTCAAGGCCCTCCAAAATGGGGACCGTTAAAAACGTGGCAAGTTTAAAAACACGTTAACTTGTATTTCTTACCGTTTTCGTAAAATCTGGAACAGTGATCAGCTGCCTGAACAAGTCTATCAGCCACTTGGCACTCAAGATGACTGTGCCACGGTGCTTGATAATTACCCTCAGGTCATGATAGAAATTCACCATAGTAGTAAACTCTTTCTCTTCATTAATGAAGCACTTCTCCTTGGCATGGGTCCGTAGCTTCGTTATACTCAAGAAATAAACTGGCTTGGAAAGCAAAGCGTTGATGACTTTCTCAAAGTTCAGCCACCTAGTTTACAAAACCAAAGAGAAAATTGATATAGCTAGCTTTAAGTATCCATGCCACGACACAGTATACCTGTCCTGACTAAAGTACAGGGCTCAGATGTGCGAAAGGTGGATAGCTGTATCCACTGGATAAATATCTGTGTGATCCATTTTACTTTACCTTTCTAAAACGACAATTAAAATGTACACAGTGCTTTTTGGTCAATTCGTAATAACGTTATCAAACCCTTTAGGGTAGAATATTCCTTAAGGCCAGTCAAAACTGCTTTTCATGGTTAACTTGTTTCAAACAACGAGATATTCATTTCTTATGAGGTTTTCTTCTGCAATTCCGCACCTTAGTGGTAACTCATGGAATTTCGCGCCAGCGTCAAAAAATATTTACATTTGCTTAGTTAGTTGGATTGCACCAATAACTATGATTGCACATTATTCCGTTTGTATTAATTTACTGAGCTTTTGCCATAGTCTTCAACCCTCACCCTAACCTACAAAATGCACAGAGTCGAATAGATATCCACAAGTAGAAATTGCAAGATACAATGCCTGGAGACTTCCCACCGTCTTTTCCAATTTGTAGGAGAGGAGATATACAATGTTGTTCCTCCTCTGTTTATAAAT